GGTCCTTATTATAGTTATAGTATAGTATACCCCTATTCTAATTATTAAGGCCCCTATCGTAGGGGTTGAACGGTTGCAAGTCAGGGCTGAACATCCGAAATGCAAAGTCGTTGAAATTGTGTGCGGGAAAGGGGGTTTGGCTTTACCAACCCCCGCAAACTCTAAACGCGGTTCTAATCATAAGCATTGTGCAAAGATCTGCAAAGAACCTTAAGTCGATCCCTAAACCCTAAACCCTAAACCCTAAACCCTAAACCAAACTTTAGGGAAGTCGATCTCCCGGGAAGCTCGGTCCCGAAGATTCGCTAAGGAAGGTTCCTCTTCAGCGGAGGCTTGTGGAGACTGCCGTGCAGGGTCGCCACAATTTTGGGGGGGCGGTTCCGGAAGGGCCCTTTCAGGGTTTCTGTAAGGTCTCGACAAAGTAGGGGTTCACGGATTTTTAGGCTTTTGATCTTTATCCTTCTTGGGTGTCGCCGCGAGAAGCCTGCAATGCGATCCGTCGGATGCGCGTGGGCCTAAATAATTACCCGTACTATTTTGGGGGTTCCTTATTATAATTATAATATAAAGGGCCCCAAAACCCTATTCTAATTATTTAGCCCCTGATATTACGTCCCTAAACCCTTACAGAACCCCTGAACCGAGATTGTCTGCAAACTGGAGGCCTTTCCAGGCTTCACTGCGCACCCTGTTCTTAGGCTTCACACTCGAAACCCGAGTAGAGATGCGATTGAACGCGGGCTCAAGACTTATAGTGTATTATCGTAGTTGATAGTACGGTTATAGTGTAAATTAGAGCGCTGATTGATGCTTTGGACACATACAAGCTTTCCAGTCCGGTGGATCTAAGACTAGACTTCGATCGCCAAGCTCTGTTTAGGGTTTTTTATGGGTTCAGGGATCCTCAAACTAAGGCCCTTCTTGCAGGAAAAGGAAAGGAAGTTATATAGTGAGCGGTCTTGTATATAGCGTCCCTTGACAGTCCCAAAATCAAAAAACACATATAGGTATAACACCAAAACTCTTAATTGAGGCATTAAGGCCCATGCATAGAACCCACAACATAAACCTTACAGAACCCTACAACTGCTCTAAGCTCAGCCCTAAACCCTTAAACCCTTAAGCCCTAAACCCCTAAACCCTTAAACCCCTCAACCCCCAAACCCCAAACCCTAAACCCTAAACCCCTAAACCCTAAACCCTAAAACCCTAGACCCTAAACCACAAACCTAAACCCTAATCCCCTCAACCCTAAAACCCTAGACCCTAAACCACAAACCTAAACCCTAATCCCCTCAACCCTAATCCCCTCAACCCTAAACCCCCTAAGCCCTAAAGTTCCGGCCTTTCAAGGCCCCAAACCCTCACCGATCTGGCAGGAATCCTCGATCGGATAGTTGGGGGAGGCTGGAGAAGGCTGGGCGGCCCCTTTGCTGAAAGATGGGTTTAGGGGTTAGGGTTTAG